TTCTCTTCTCTTCTCTTCTCTTTCTTTCTTTCTGTTTCTGTCCTTTTGTCTGTCTGTCTATCTGGCTGTCTGTCTGTCTACCTGTCTCTATCTCTATCTCTCTCTTTCTCTCTCTTTTTCTCTCTCTCTCTCTCTCTCTCTCTCTCTCTCTCTTTCTCTCTCTCTCTCCATTTGTCTTGTTTAAGGTTTTTTGTGTATACATGCCTGACAGATCATAAAATTCGTTAACTTCCCTTCTTAAACACCTTTAAAGTAAACAAGTACGTCTTTTTGTTTACCAGCTCTGGAATAAATGCTTCAACCACTTTCAGGATAAGAGTGCATCTAAATCTGATCCTGTCTGTGTGCCCATTTAACTGTATCACTGTACAGCTAGCAGTCTTTTTGTCGACTTACCTACATTTCCAAACTTCCCGTTACGCTCATCACGAAAGACACCAATAGAGCATTAAAGATACACCCCAGTGTCTATAAATACAAATTATGCGTCATAGTTTTCCCTTTTTTTTTTTTGCATCCTTTACCTCCTGGCCTCAGCGATGACTGACGAGTTCTGGAAGATCAAAAGTCCTGTGGGTTTCTCCTCTCTACTGCTAGATAAGAAGGTTTACCAACAGTTGAGTGAAGAGAAAGCGGCACAAGGTCTTAGAGTAGACGGAATCCCGATCATGGTAAGATGTGAACAAGTACTGTCATATAACAGGCATACAATAATAACATAAAGTTTTAAAAAAGGACATAATATCTGCACCACAGAAACGGGGTCTGTGTCATAATAGTAAGCTCATCGCCTTGCCAGCAAATAGCAAGAGTTCCATTAAAGAGCAGGAAAGTGTGTGTGTGGGGGGGGGGGGGGGGGGTCCTTATTTATTGTTTATGGCTTTGATTGGGGTAGGGGGGTTTTGTTAGTGGTTTTGTTTGTTTGTCTTGGGGATTTTTTACAAGTACATGTGTCATTTATTCTAAGATTTAGTATTCAGTACAGCCTTGGCCAAACTACCTACCCTTAAACGATCTAATTAGAGACCAGTGGCGTGAAACATTTACAAATGATTAAATCAAACCGCGTTTAGATGATATTGAGGAAAGGTATTTCGTCTCAAGGACAGGCCTCTTCTATAGAGTCATAAAGATATAGAAGCCTTTTCGACTTTCATGGCTATATACACATCATATTGTCAAATCATACTTTTTATGCCATTGTATAAGTTCTTGAGGAGAACCCGACTTCAAGTTCTAAGAAAAGACACAAAATTTTCAAGAAATCAAGACAATATTTTGCTGCATCTGTGACAACGTATACTATCATGCTTAGCTGGGGGCCACTTTGCTACAAAGATACAATCACCAAACGTGGGGGAAAGGGGGGGGGGCAGAAAGAGTTTACAAAACGTTTCTCTACTCTCACTCTCTTTTATCTTTAACACTTACCATTACGTCCAACCTCTATGACCCCTTACCCCGATCCTAAATCGCTATCCCTAACATCCAACCCCTGATCCCTTATCCCTTATCACTAAACCTATCCGATCCGATCACACAGTCGTATTTGGGGGTGGTTGGTGGGTGCTTTAATGTGGTTTTCTCATTCTTTCAAATCAAACGTCGTGTCTCCTTATCCCTCCTATGTTTCCTTGTCTGTTACTTTCCAGTAACATCTCTAAACTTCGGCACTTAGACGACCTGTTTGTGCTGCAAGTGCAGTACCGTGAAACTTACTGATACTAAAACAATCCTATTTCTTAGAAACATTGTTATTTATGTGTCTTGTGTTATTTACTGTCTTTTCACAACACCAGGGCTCGGAGCTGAAGAGTTCCGACGGGAGACCACCCATCATTGGCATGGTTCTGAAACTAGTCACTACACATGTAAGTTAACTCCCTTTAATACTTTTTGTTCCTCTGAATAAATTGCAATGAACACTTAAGGACAAATTGCCATCAGTGGAAGAGGATAAGATTTCAAACCAAAGTAATTCAAGGTCTGGCTTCAAGTCGCTTTCAATTACTTTTGTTATGCTCTATCCTGTAAGTGGATTTGAAAAGCTCTGCGATTATTACAATTGTTGTAACAGAATTTTGTAGCCGATTTTTAAATGATATTCTTTGACTTCGTGGGCTTAGATAAACACGCAACTGCATATAATGGCACCACACATGACCAACAAAAATGATACTGTATACTTACTTACTTAACCTTTACATTTTCATCCTCTGTTGCCGATAAGCGTTGAGGGGAGATGCAGTTCTCTACAACAGGCCAGCTCCGCCGCTCTTTTAGTTGTGATATTAATTACGTTTTCTCAAGGTTTCCTTAACACCATCAATCCACCTTTTGCGTGGCCTTCCTTTTCCCTTATAGCCTGAATGCTTGGTGTCGTAAGCTTTCGAGGCTGGCTGGCCAGGTGACATACCTAACAGTTGGCCAAACCATTTTATTCTCTGTCTTTCTATGATATGCAAGCAGGACTCAGTGCCAATAGCTGCTCTTACTTCTTTATTTGTCTGCCTGTCTCGTCTTGTGATGTTAAGGGTTTTGCGGAGGCATTTCATTTCGCATGCAGTAATTTTGCTTTCATGGGTTTTACTTATTGTCCAAGTCTGGCACTGGTAGCATAATGCTGGTATGAATGTTGAAGTGATAAGCTGTCTCTTTGTGTTAATAGAGACGTTTGGGTGAGATGGGGGAGGGGGGGTGCGAGCTGGTAGGTGACAGCGCTGGCTTTTTGAGTTCGCATTTCTATTTCTCTGTTTATGGACCCGTTTTCAGAAAAAGGGCTGCCAAGATATTTAAACTCCTTTAACTGTTCCAATTATTTACTATTGACATGGATGTTCAGGAGACTATGGCTTCGGCTCACTTTCATAACTTCTGTTGTTTGTTGCTTGTTGTTGTTTTGTTTTTTTGTTGTTTTTTTTGTTTTTGCTCTAATTTTTATGTTAAATTTCTCGCAGCTGTTGTTCAGTTCGGTAGTGTGATTTGGGGGGCTTTGTTGGTTTGGATGAATGAGACATTGGTCGTCTGCGAATAAAAGTTCATTCAGACTTTCTGGGTTTTGGTTTTCGTCTTGCGTTATTGTGTCCATAAAAGTATTATAAACAGGAAGGGAGATAGAACGCATCTCTGTCGCACTCCAGTTTTTACTTTGAACCAGTCTGTATTGCCTTCCTTTATTCTTACTGAGCTTCTGTTGTTGGTATATAGAGCCCTAACATGATCTAACAGTTGTCCTCTGTCGCCATACTTTTCGAATGTCTTCCAGAGTTTTGCATGTCAAAAGCCTTCTCCTGGTCTATAAAGACTATGTTGGGTCTTCTTAATGTGTTCGACGGTTTTCTTGCATATCTGTCGTAATGCGAATACAGCAACCGTGCATCCTCTTCCCTTTCGGAATCCAACCTGAGCTTTGCTCTAATTTCTCTCTACAATATGTCTTATCCAAGGTTCTAATATCCTTGCGTACGTTTTCCCGGCGTGGATTAACAAAGGATGCCTCTGTAAGTTGTGCAGTCCCGTTTGTTGGCTTTCTTTTTCCATGATGGGACCACTGTGGCTTTATCATTAATTCTAGAAGCTGTAAAAGGTGCCTTAGTCACCCTGGTTTACCGTAGCACAAATAACATCGGAAAGGGGGGAGGGGTTAGATTTCCAGAAATACAAATTTTAGAAACAAACAATCCATATTAGTGGCCATCACTCACACTTCCATAATAACAGCTACAGTGAGAATTGTTTATCGTTAAGAAGAACAGAGAAGAAGTCAAAACCTTCAAAATATTATACATAACTAGCTGGGCACTCGTTCGATGAACGGACTCAAAAGAATCGATCGTCAAGTCGGTTACATAACTGTGCACCCTTTGAATGATTTCTGAACCACCGTTAATTACTTTTATCAACTTCTTGAGTTAAGTAGTTCGGAGGTTTTAGACGACCAAAGGGATGAGCTTTCACAAATACAATATACTAACTGAGTACCCGTTCGAGGGACGGACTCATAGAATCGATCGTCAAGTCAATTTCACGCATGAGAACTTTCACAAATATAATAATATATTAATTATAAAATAGATTAATCCTCTATTCCGCTTTCATGGTTGTACACTTCAAAATTTCAAAGGTGTGGAATCAATGCGCGCTGCTTGTGAACGGAAGCCTCACTTGTTTACAATGGCGTCTTACAAGACGGACTTTCCCAATATAAGATCTAAACGGAACTAATGAAAAACTGAAAATTAGACTCTAAACTTCAGTGACTTCAGACTCCCTATAATAATTGTGCACCATTTAAATGATTCTCTACCACCGTTATTTCTTTCATATTCGAAAGTTAAGTGGTTCGGAATGTATAGACGACCAAAGTGACGTTCACAAATACAATATAGATATATAGGTATAGATATAGATAAAGCAGTCTTGTTAGTCCTTTCGAGTTTTGGGTCCAAGGTGGAGAAGAGAAAACAGTCACAATATACAGTGTAGCTCAACACAAACCTGAGCAAAACCTCAAAGCAAACACAGAGTCATTAAAGCCGATATACCAAGATCAAAGTAAAAGGACAGCACCTTTTGCTGGGTGTCTTACCGCATCACTTAAGGTTCGCTTGTTTTTTTGTGTTTTTTTGGGGGGGGTTATTTCTTTTCTTTTTTAATACAGTTATATATCTTGTTTAAAAACAGACCCAATAATATACAAACCGACTTTCTGATATTGCTGAATTTTTTACTGATCGTCCCGTCTCGTGACTTTGCAGCAACCAGAGTCTCTGGTAGCTATGAGTAACCTTGACAACCTCCCGCTGATGGAACTGAAAGAAGGCACCGCCCCTCACACACCGGAAGTGCTACATATACCCACACCGACGCCAGAACCGGAACTGGAAGAGGGAGAAGAGGACGATGACCTTACAGCACCGGGACTGTACTTACAGCGCGTGAACAAGGACCGGATGGTGAGTAGGCTAACTTCTTCAAGATAAATTGGCTAAATATGTGGCTTTGAGATGAAATCAAGGGCTCTTCAAAATGATGTAATTGAATAAATCGACATGTTTCCGGTTGTTGGGCAATTTTTAACGATTTTTTTGTCAGGGGTGGGGGTTCAGCGCTTCTATGCTTCCATATTAAAACACATTTCTGTGTGGATATGCTGAATCACGTTGATCAAATGTCCAAAAAATGTGAATTTGCAATTTCCAAGAACACTCAGCTTTTGGAAATCACCACCCTTTAAAGCCCATTTTCTCGCCATGTGTGTCTCTGATATCAGGTGATCCTCACCTCCTTCAATTGCAAATATTTCGACTTCTATTTAGGATAGACGAGCATTATTTTCATCAAAAGCAAGACAAACAAGCTTTAAGATGACACCAATAAATCTGTATGCCAAAAACTTGACGAGAGGCTGATTTCATCCTGTTGTGACACAAATGGTCTGGGTCTGTTCGATTTTGTTAGAATTCATGTGAGTACTATCTTCCTTTTGTGGACCACTGGAGGAAGGTGCTACTGGGAGGTCCTTTCTCTATACTTTTCCCTACGCTGTCTACGTCTGTCCTTTAGCTCTTACCCAGATCTAAATGACCGATACAATATTGATATATTTATCTTTACTCCAACTAAACACTTTCTTCTGTTTCTGTGTAACTACTTATCTATCAGTGCCCAGTGCATTTACGGTGGATTAGTCTTTTCCTTTCCCTCACTTCTCTATTCCTTAATTTTTAGTAGGAGAGTGGGGAAAAGGGGTGGGGGTCGACGAGAAAAAATGCTGTGTGCGCGAGTGAGAGTAGAACATTTTAATTGACCTGTCTATTCAAGTAAGGATACTAGAATATCCTTTTCCAGCATGGCCAAGAACCTTGAAATGATTTAGATTTAGCATGCCCATGAACAACCAAGTAAATCATGTCACTCGACATGTGTACCTTGATCTCAGAAGAATCAGTACGATAAGGCACTTTATTTCAACTGATAGGGCATGCATGCTTTCTGTCTGTCTTATCTTGTTAAAACTTGACTATAGCGATATCTGTTCTGTCTGGTATTTCATGAGAACGAATGGGGAAATTGCAAGTGGCCTTAAATAACACCGTATGACTGTTACTGGAGAAAAAGAAGAAAGATCCTGCATCAAAAAATATTAAAGGCTATGAACTGGTTTCCAGTTGATTCATCATCATCATTGCCTTTTTCACCCTGGATCAGGATATAGGCCACGAACAAACACTCTCCACATTTCCATATACTGGGCTAGTCGCTTGATGTCACTCCACGTCTTCCCATTTTTCTGTACATTCATTTCCGTGACTCTTCTCCAGGTTCAACGTGGTCTTCCCCTAGATCTTTTACCCTGCGAGATCCAATCTAACACTTTCCTTGTTATGCAGCTGCTTGACTTCCTGAAACTGTGTCCAATCCATCGCCAACGTCTTCTTCCCACCTCATCTCTGACTGGGCTCTGTCTCGTTCTTCTTAATACTTCCTCGTTGGTGATTCTGGCTGTCCTTTTGATCCTCAGTAGCTTCCTCAGACACTTGTTTAAGAAAACCTGGATCCTCTTTATACACGCCTGAGATGCGTTCCACGTCTCACATCCTTACAACAAGACTGACTTCACATCTGAGTTGAAAATTCTAAGCTTTGTTCGTAGTGAGATATCCCTGGTCCTCCAAATCCTGTTCAAAGAAATAAATGCAGTCTGTACCTTTCCAAAGCGGGACTTTATTTCAGCGCCTGTTCCTCCCTTTCTGTCAATTGTACTCCCAAGATAGCAGAAAGATTCCAGATGATTAAAGAATCCATTATAAAGTTTCTACCATCTGTTATAAATGTTTTACCATAATGCTCCATCATATCTGTCTGAGCGTTTAACTCTGTACGTTTTATCCCGTCAATTACGGTCATCCACAAAGACAACAAAATTTAGAGCTCCACGAATGAAGTTAACATCATTAGGTGAAGAAAGTTTCTCTTCTTTTTGCCCTAAAATTTGGAACTCTTTGCCCCAGTACCTTATAGAAATAACAAATCCTATAGTGGGGTAAAAAAAATTCGTGGTGCATCTCATCCTAAAATATCTTTTTAAGGGGTGAATCAGTATCACCCACACTTCGCATAGCAGTTAGTATCAAGTTGTTTTAATTTAATCATTCATTTTAGGGAAGATTTTAAAAATATTCTTCACAAATTTAAATAAAATACAAAAAATCTGCGTCACATGGAAAATGGGATTGTTCACAGCTCTTCTCGCTTCTCACACACACTTTCATACGCATAATATATATATGGCACGAGACGTTGAAGTAGCAAGTATGAGAACCGTTATAAAAATTGTTGGGGATCATGCCACTAAAAAAAGGAGTGCAGAGGGGACAACGACGGCTGGCGTACCAAAGACATTTCTTAATATCAAACTTGTTTCAAGAAATTAATGTCGTTGTGAACACTTTTTTTTTTGCACTTAAGGTTCTCAAAACATGCATTCAATAAGCATAATGTCGCATTTAGAAAATTAGTGACTGGCTTGCTCTTAAAGGCGATATTGTCCCAGTTGTAAACCTTTTAAAATCTGAAGAAGCCACAAACTGGAATTTTTAATGAGTAGTTAGATCTATTAAGGAATTTTCTAGAATACAGCTAATGGCCGCGCACCCATATTCAAACACACAGTTTTCCCTATTATTATTATTATCATTATTATTATTATTATTA